TATCAGAGCGAGGCTGCGGGTATTTGTTTCTTACTGGTGTTGGATTGATCTAGGAGTGTCTGTGCCTCTTCGTCTACTGGTTGCTGCTGCTGTGGTGCAGCAGGGGAGTCCATTGGCCAGCCCTGGCTGAGGGGACAGGACCAGTCCCCCCCCAGGCCGCATGTGAGTGCTTCTAGCCTCGATAGAGTTTTGACGGAGAAGAGACAAGACAAGAAGCAGTCATCGAGACAGAGGATAGCAGGAGCCAGAGACAGCCACGGGGCAAACGCAGCGTTCCCCACACAAGCATTGCAGAGCCCAAAGACAAGCAGAGACACCCCACCAATGAGGCGGCAACGCCTGCTAGGTAGCACGGCGAGAAAGGGGACGACACAGAACATAAGGAGACAGAGAACAGCCTCAGCCACCTGCAGCCAGTGGTGTTGATGGTGCAGGAGCCAGGCCAGAGGAGAAGGCAGCGGCTGTGTCTCGAAGTAGTAAGCCAAGGCGGAGAGGTCTCGCCACGCACTGTCTCCTCTCAGTAGACTGAGCCCCGTCCCCAGGAAGAGACGCAGCAGCAGCCATCGGCCCCCCCACAAGCATGCATAGGGGACAGGCCAGCTGCGGGGGAAGCGAGAGCAGCTCCAGAAGGGGCACAGCCAGATAGCTAAGAAACTCGTCTCCAGCAGCTGCGACTCCCACCCAAACCCATACCACTCCTGGCCCACGCTCACCAGCGTCAGATACAGCAGCCACTGCAGCAGCACAACTCCCCCGCTTGCTGCACCCGCCACGAACACCCCAGCAGACAACACCATACCTACACAGACACCAAAGCACAAGCAGCAGCAACAGATAATAAAACTTCTACGCAGCAGCAGCAGAAACAACACACAACAGCAGCAACAAATGAAACACACAAACAGCAGCAGCAACAAATGCAACACACAAACAACAGCAGCAAATACATCACCGCCAGCAGCACCAAACCGGCATCTCCAGCAGCACCTGCAGCAGCAACTGCAGCAGCAACTGCAGCAGCAGCTATGGGCGCTGCTGCCTGTCTAGGTAGCTGATACAAAGGGGACAAGCCTGTCTCTTGACAGTGTGTATATGTGTGTAGGTATTGATGTATTGTATGTATGTATTTATGTTTTTTTTTGTGTTTTTTTTGTATTTTTTTTGTCTCCTTTTTGTCTCTCACCCAGCAGAGAAAGAGCATTGAGCCAGAAATCTGTGGCCGGTAGAAACAGAAAGAGAGA